AATGCAAGGCTACAAAAAAGTTCTAAGGTTAGGGATTGGACGAGAATGTGACTTTAAAAGTTGCATGGGAGGGATATTTGGTGTCACTGCGTACAGCTGAATACAGTGAGTCAAAGATGCTCAAAACTGTTTCCCAGGCAGCTGATGATCCTGGCATGAACGGCTTTACTCTGCACTTTTCTCTCAGTTGCTACTCTAATAGTATCGTTTGGCATTCACACGATACAATCTCTGGTCCGTCACTTAACCTCATCCTGGACATTTTTCGACCATATAACCGCAGTTGTGGTACTAGGGAGTGGATAGGGGCTCAATTTGACTGCATTCTGCTCAGGAAAGGGAGAGGTGCGGATTCTCACTGAGGAAAGAGTAAGAGGAAATAGTTGAAGCGGGTTCTTTATGAAGCGAATAAGGTTGTTGTCGTTGTCGTGTCGTGTCGAATTGTAACACGCAAGTGTAATATTATTGCAGATGAAAATAAAAATGCAGAAGGTTGACGCGTTTTCGACCCTTCTCTGTGCCATCGCAACAGTGTAGTGTTTAAGCGCACTACCTATTGCGCTCTTGAATAATAAGGAAACAAAGACGTAATGTCCCATCGCTCGCTCATCCAAGCTCTTTGTACAGGGTAGGCATGTGAGCTCCTATTTAGTGAACCTTGCCTTCTTGAGCTTTCATTTTGGCAGGAAAGATCTGCGATCAAAAAGTCGAAGCGCTGAAAGTTTTGTACAGGCGATGTGAAGACGATAGCGAAGGCAATAAACTTCTAGGACATTTCCCGGGCAAGTAGCACATGAATAAAAAAGGCATGCCTATGAGCCTCCGCAACTCTGCCATCAATGATTGGACAACATCAGATTCGTACCAGCATCTTCTACCAGGCACGCCAAGGAGTATTCGAATGTATTTGAAGGAGTATTCAAATTGGCTGCATTGCATAACGTTCGCTCAAAGTTTCGTCAAGATATTCGCGTAACAGCTCAAATGCGGACACAAAGGCACTATACCAGCAGCCATCAAAAAGTTTCTAGTGAAATCCGATCAGTGTAGGAGGTTATTAACATCTCCTGTAAGCGCATTCACATAGGGATTGCGACCCGTCTTATCTGCTTTGTGCCTTCACAACTGGAGCTCAAATAATCACGGAATGCTGCTGGATTTCATTGGATTGACAGCTGTACGTTAGGAGTGCAGGAGTTCGTGGAATCTTAACTCACTTGATCTCGTCTTTTTCGAATAGGAAAACGTTCCTTTGCTAGTGACAATTTAACAAGTGAGAACATAGGAAAAATTCTATCTTCCTTCAGTTTGTTTAAGGTCCCTTGAATCTTCATGATCATCCACCCCTCGTATTGACAGCGTTATGCTCGTCAACAACTCAAATTTACTCCAGCAACGTGTAATCAGGTCTTGAAAATTGCTCAACACCTGTCTGATTTAGGTCAGAATTTATTTTCGCTCAATATAAATAGCGAGCGACTGGTCAGCGATGATGACTCATCCTTCTTCCCCATTGGAATTATCGTCCAAAATAGTGCATCAAAATCTCAATGCATCTTCCACCAAAAATAAATTTGTACACTCTCGAAATTTGCTGAATGTTTCAAGAAGTGAAAGAATTCCAGGGAAAATTCAATGTAATAGGATTACGAGGACGCTTGGAGATGATATAAATCCTCTAGCTTATTGAGACGAGTAATTCTTAGAGGAAGAAAACGCCAGGAAACGGGTTTGATGCAAGTGGACTGAAATCTACTGCTTATTGGTAGTCGTTGAAAACGGAGCACGGAGAAGGGGAGAGGGAGGAAAGAATCCAGTTGAGGCTAGCGGACATGAGAATACATTTCCGGCAGTGACCAACCATTGTGCTGTCCCAAAAGCTGAAACATTTTCAATTGCAAAGTCTAGTTCTTCTGGAAATAAGCCATAGAAAAGCTCCGATCTTAAAACCAACATCTGACATTTCATTACATACTTTGCGCTTGTCGTAGGTAGGCGGATGTGGTGTAGAGGCAAGTTGTGCACAACACATATGCTCTGACACGGGTTTCAATTTTATATATACAGGGTGCGCCATAAATATGGTAACAACTTTTTAGACGTCTGTAATTTTCTTGTTTGGAGGGTTTCTTCAAATCTGGATTTCCCCTTATATTTATGATATACCTAGACTTCGGTGCTCTCAATTCGTCAGATTTCGAAAAACGGTGGAGCCTCGCAGACGTCTACCGGCCATTAACTCTTTGCGCGCATTTTGTGAGTCCCCTTCCAGAATCGCTCCTCGTTTCAGTATTTCCCACATTGACAGTATCTTGAATCGCGATGTGTATATAGGTAAGCGACAAACCTCAAAAGGGTCATCCTGCCTCAAATACAACCCCTTTTCCGAATAGAATTGCTTGGAAAGGAGTACGCTGATTTGTTTGTATGTTCTACTCCGATGAGAAGAGACTACCGGAGTAGACACAATTGCATCCGGATAAGATTCGAGAGCCCTATAAGCTTCTTGACGAGAGGTTGGAGAGAAAAAAAAAACAAAATCTGTGCATGGCATTCCTTGCGCGCTTCGACAATCCTTTTTTTGACTAAAGGGTGTTCAGTGTGGAAGAAATGTTGAGATCTCAAAGTATACGTATATTTCACACTTTTCGAGTTCTGAAGCCGCTGAGAAGAGTCGGATCACCTCTCATAGCTACTTTCCCTCTTTGATGATAGCTTTTGATAGAATCTCTACCATCCGAGCGATATCGCAAATTTTGGTCGAAAAAAGTACAAAATTCACTCCAAAACTCTCTAAGAAGAGTCCCTCGGAAAGTATACAGCTGAGGGTCGAAGATTTTTTCAGGGATACTACTTGAAAACTACGGGGAACCTGCTCACAAATGGGAAAAATCAAGACTGGTGCTGAGGGAATGTTCACGACTTTATCCCAGCTTCCAATCCTCCTGCACATTTCCCGGACTAGATGGGTCGCTGGATATAGTTCATAGTGGAGAGGAAAGCTTGCGCTTCATATGGCACCACTGTTGCTGTCCTTAAGAAACCACTGAGAAAATCCCAGGCCGCTCTGCGTGCCGCCGTCGATGAGTAGCCAAAGCATCTTCGAGCTATAATTAGAACGGGAGACGGTTATATAAGATGACTGTGTGTTCGTTTTAAATAACTCACATCAATGCACTATGTACCAATATGAACTGCGGTTTTTGTATCCCAATTCCTTTGTTACCATATTTATGGCGCACTCTATATACATAGGTGAACGGTGATAGGTGATATATGTACATACATATATATATATATATATACCACTATCACCGTTCACCTTTCATCGACTCCCGTTCCGTTGATCATCGACTTCCTCAAGCGAGCGCCAGTAACGTCTCCATTCGCCCCGTCACGGATCTCCTTTCACTGAGTGTTCTCTCTCATTGGAGGATCCCAGCTAGTTAGCAACGAGGCTACGTAGGGCGTCCCCAGGTGGCGGATAGGGGAGTTAATCGCCGACTAAAAGTCGCCAGTACTCGCCCAGAGACGCAGGTGGATCTAGGGTATGGCCTCACTGATTCTGCTGCGCTGGTCGACATACCATCTGTTTCTCGCAGGCATATCCAGCATACGTGTGTGGAGTGTCTGTGGATGCAGTTGGTATCCCGCCCCAATATTTGGGAGGTGATTCAGGGCCGCCTCCAGTAACAAAGCCCCTCGACCACTTTGAGACAGCCCAACAAGGTCCCGGAGCCAATCCAGCCCCCACGTCAGAGCCTGGCAAGTTACACATTGGGCAATCACTTGCCGAAAGCAGTGACAAGAATGAGCCTCATTCCTCCGAAGGTGAGGGGGCCCTCGATGGGCAGCGGTTGGGGCCAATACCGCTTGGCAGAGGCTGCTGAAATCTCGGGGTCAAAACAGGTCGCCTAAAGGACTATGATGGCGATCTGTACTTTCAACGCACGGACGCTTGCATCGGAAGCGTGTATAGAAGACCTGATGATGCAAGCTAGGAAGGTCAAGTTCGACGTTATCAGGCTGACCGAGACGAGAAGACGCCGCTCGCTGCACGCTGTATTTGAGAGTGGAGAAGAAGTGCTTCTAGGAACATGCGACAGCAAAGGCGTCGTAAGTTTCCTCGCCAATACGCACTTGAAGATGAACATCGATTCGTGCGAAAGCTTAACAATCTGAATCGGACGTTTGCGATTAAGAATATGTGGATCAACTCCGATTCCAACCATCTCCGCGCCAACATCAAGCTGCAAAGGAGAGTGGAAGCGTTCTATATGGATCTGGAAAGGCCTACAAAGAAGACCATACCTTCTTCAAGGTTATCGTCGGCGATTTCAAGGGCTCCACATGGGACTCACGGATTGATATGGAATGAGTAAGGCGAAAGGATGTACGAGTTTATCATGTCGACCCACACCATCCATTGTAACTCGCACTTCCAGGAGTTCTCTCATTTGCGATGGACATCGGAGACACCTGGTGGACAGTTTCATAATGAAATAGACCACATATATTTCGTTATGAAACTGTCCACATCTCTTCAACTGGAGATTTTGCCTGACTGACGTCGCTGTTGTTCCAAACTTCCATACGGGATCGTCTCCTCCGCGCTAGATTCTACTTCTCAGTGCGTGGAGAGCTATGAAATTTAGGAAACGAAGCCCCAAGACCTCCATCAACTGGGACCACTTCGCTTATCCTCTGAATGAATGGGAAGATCGATGAAGAATACATCCGACTCGTCGAACATCTTCACGGTAGTGCTAGGAAAGCATAGAGTTCACAAGTAGCCAAAAACGACTCTCTTCGGAGACTCTCGAGCTGATACGCCAGCGTGGAATCGCGCGCGCTACAGGCAACCATCCAATGTTGTCGGGTTCTCCTTTCTTCTACAGTAACACAGCTTTGCTAGTTCTCCACGACGAAGACACTGCATTCCGACAGGTATCGCATGGGGAGCCTAGGCAGAGTTCTGACCATAACTGTTGGAAGACTCTTCAGATGTTCTGGTTTATCCTGTCGGGACCGGGCGCCGTACAATTCTCCATCAACGTGATGGCATGTCGAATTTCGGAATGGAGAAGCGAAGGTGTGATACAATCATCTTGCCTAAGATGGTGGGTAGGCAGGTAGACGTGGCTGTCGAAAAGATTTGAGTAGAAATCGTAGATGACCTTCTCCATTGCCCTTCGAAATGCAGTATTTGTTCCGTCAGTACAACGAAGGGAAGTCATCTCGGTCCTGCAATAGACGAAACTCTGTCGGGAATGGGAATGCTCTTTCCGGCTTCAGCGGCTTCGTCCATGACTGCTGCTCTTCTCTCTTTAGGTATCCTAAATCGCTTCTCTGCATAGCATCGCGAGTTCGGACGTTTCTTGATGGTAAACAGATCAGACAGCTAAGAAAGCCTAGGTTCAACGAACACCCTTCTGAACATTTCACTGTCCCAAACATTGCTGAACATAGAACGCGATAGAGACCATAACTATTCAGTGATTATAGATAAATCAAGCCAGCAGCCTTGATTCATCGCATGATAGATGAGCTGTCACTGTATTCTTTCTCTTCGAAAACCAAGCTGTCATACATATTACTTCAAAAACTATAAAATCGATGAAATTTTGAAGTTTTGAGATCATACCCTGCTTTTTAGGAGTAAACAATAGCAGTCAAGTGCTAGATCTTATAAACAATAAGAGTGGCTGAAAACGTTAGTACAAAAGTAAGATTTGGTAAGAATGGCCAGAATAGTGTAGGAGATGTGGTCATTGGAATAGGTATGGATCAAGACACAGTATTACTTACTGAACCCCTCCAACAGTAAGAGGCTTCGATACCAGCTAGATATGTCCAAATGAACGTTCACTGCAACGCTAACACGCACAAAAACGAGCCAATTGCTTGGCGCAATTTTATAAGGCTAGCAGAAGAACCATACCACTGGCGAGAAGACAGGGAGAAGTCCTTTACTAGGAGAGCGCCGAGCAAGTAACACCACACCTGACTTGTTTTGGTTAGAGGAAGGAGAGCGAACGCGCCAGGCTAATGGCATTGGAGCGGCCTGACTATGTGCTCAATCAAGCATCTGTAATAGTGTAACTAACGCTAAAGTATTTCCTGTCATAGAATGGTAGAATTGCTTTTATTTTGAGACTCATAACTTTGCGAATTGGCGTTCGGCAAAGAATTAGAGCTGCATGAGTTGCTTTTTACACTCTAAGGACTATTTCCATGAATTGAAACGGCTACTGTTGCTTATTATTCCCTCATTGTTGAGCAGGCAGCAAACCTTTCAAGTGGCGAAGGTGGCTTTGAAACTATGGAACAAATGAACAGTGAGCGTCTTTCCGTGAAACAGTAATGTCAGTGGTACCCCATCAGTGAATATTACTATAAAACTACACCTATGTATTGGAATAGAAAAAACGATTATATAGCAGGGAAGGATTATTTCCAACATGCTGAAGCAACGAATGCCTTGCAGGCTCAGTTCATCTCTCAAGATTCTCGGTCTCTGAGATTTTATTTTAGATGAAAATAGCAAAAGGTATGCTGTAGGGTTTACAAACGGCTAGATTAGCCTTGTAAGGGCTCGAAAACTGGCTTCGGCGACGTGTATGCCACCAACGGAACGCACACGCTTATACGGTTACTTGTACGCAATGGCACCCACATTCAGACAGCTTGTCCAAATGACCTTCCACGCGAAGTTTGTCGTCACAGTCTCGTTCAACACTTGATTTTGCTTTTTTTTTGAAAATTTGTATTTCTTCAGAGACGCCTATTTTGAAGCATTCTTCCCCACTTTTACATTATTCTAGGCTATCGCTTCCATTATTTGTCTAAAACTAGATACACTCAAAGTATCGTGAACTGTTCATCTAACACCTTGCTATAATGAGCTTAATGTCTGCCCAACTCGACAATGTGCTTTTACGTGATTGAAATAACTACACAAAAAAGGCACAGAAGTACATAACGGGAAAAGGAGTGGTGCGCTCAGACAAGCAGAACTTGTGCAGCAATCAAGGAGTCTCGAATGCGCTACCACCGCTGCCCCAAAACAACTGACCCCNCACCCCCCCCCCCCCCCCCCCCCCCCCCCCCCGCCCTCCTACGCCGAAGCAACCAACCCATTCGAAAATAGTACTCTACACGAAACGCCCATCATACATGTTTTTGCAAACGAGGCGTAATTGGCGAGCAGAACATAGCTATTACCTATTCTTTGATGAGTTTGCAAGAATGAAGTGGATCGATAATCGCAATCTCAAATGGAATCAGGCCAGAAGACGGATTAAACGGAAATGCTTTATGCAGATAGCCCATCTGGCATTTCGGTAGAGCTCGAAAAGCGTTCATCATCTCCGCAGAACAGCTGAGGGATTTATTTGATCGTAATGGCAGTTTTGAGCAAGCTCCTCTCTTTTTCCACTCTCTCTCACTCTCTCCCTCCCTGGAGATTGTCAAATTTCAAATTAAGCCGTTGCATTGAGAAGTGAGCAGCGTGAATCACTTTAACTTCAACTTCATTGCACACCTATGGTGACTTGTATAGTAGCCAACATAACACCGTTTTCTGAAAATAACAAGGTAAAAACAACTAGTCTGGGACATAATGCAATGCGTGAATAGAGTTTTTGAGGTTTAGCATACTCATTTCCAGCATGTTATGTGATGAAATGGCTACGAATTGCTGTTTTGGCTGTTTCTAGGCAAAGTTTTTCAAGACCATCTCTGGTAGAGCAATCATGAAAATTCAGTAGATCCGAAGCTGAAAAGAATTAAGTTACGATTACTTGGGGAATGCTGCTTCAGGCATATCCAAGACACCTAATGGAAAATCCCAGTGAAACTCGTTTGGACTCGTTCTAAAAAATGATTTTTTTTTCGAAGGAGTGGGAAATCCATATTCAATTATAGGCGTGACATATGTACATTTTGCAAACCCCAGACAAAATGGAGGGATCCTTACTGCATAGAGTTCAGTAGTAAGTATAGACGATTCGGCTGCAATATTAAAACAATGGATATCAAAGCATAGGTTGTTGTTGATTCTAAAGTATAGAACTCTGGTTTTTGAAACTTGCTTGATAGAAAAGATTGAACGTATTCTTATTCTTAGCAAACTCTCCCAAACTAGAGTACTTTAGTTTCTTCCATACAAATGGGATCATTCCACGAGAGTGACCAAGTAATTACCGAGTCCACTGCTCGCTGAACTGTTTAGCAGTTATTCCGACACCCAGCTGATTTATAAATCTTGATGTCGTCTGCGAATACCTGCGAATATTTTACGTGTTATGCCACATTATCTAATTAAACATTATCTAATTAAAGATGGAAAGAACTTCGCTTCGTTAAAGGATTGTTCTATGTACTGAAAAGTTCTATCTAATTAAAGATGGAAAGAACTTCGCTTCGTTAAAGAATTGTTCTATGTACTGAAAAGTTCCCTCTCCCCTTTATTTTACAGTATCCTGCTTGTAGGCGCTAGAACCTGACCGAGTCAGAACTACAGTTCTCCGTAACAAGGTACTCGATCACCCTTGTGTGGTCATTGTATCAAATTTAATCGCTCGCGAAAAAGTTCCTTTTGAATGATGTCAGTTCGTTGTGAAAAGTTGCCTCGATTTTGAATAGAAAAGAACTACAGGGTGACCCACATGAAGTGTGACGCAGAAAACTAGTATCAAAATTAAACAGATCAAACCAAATAGGAAACTATTACTCCCACACAATCATCACAAAATTGTAAACAACATATAACATCTCGCATGCAGAATGACCACCTTTCGCTTTAACGCAAACATCCAACCTCATTCGGGTGTTTTCGAGAATGCGCGCAATCACCTTTTTCGCCCGCTTCTACAAGAGAACTTTCTTTTATAGGTTCCTAAGACATGTGTTTGAAAGCGCACGCTTTTTGCTCCAGAATCGACCATACACCAAAATCCAAAGGATTGAGATCGGGGAATTTGAAGGTCAAAACTGCTTTGCCCCAAAAACCCGGATGCGTGGTTTCACAACATTGCAGCATCTTCTTTGCGCTGTAGGCTGGTGTCCAATCCTGTGGAAGGTTCAGCTGACCTTTCCGCCCAAGCGCCCATGAGTTGTTTTTTTATTGCCCGTCACACTTCATGTGGGTCACCCTGTAGGTGGCATATCTCGATTTTGAATAGGAAAGAACTACATAGATGGCATATCACGATGAAATTCGTTCACCCGTTCCCGTTCACCCGTTCACTATGATTTTGGGATTTGTGATTTTAGACGAATAATGGCAGTAGTAGTCCAAAATAGTACGAAGGTGACGAAGAAACACGAAAATCGGCGTTCAATGAAATATAAGGCTTGAAACAATTAGTGAAATTAGGGGTTGGTCAAGAATGTGACGACAAAAATTGCATGGAAGTGGTATCACGACTAGCTGTTCAAATGTGTATGCCACTGCGTACATCTGGCTATGGTAAACTGTCTGTGTGCACATGCATGCATGTATACAACTGCAAGATGACAGAAGATATAAATTTACGCAATACAGTCCAAACACGCAGTCCATTCCCTGCATCCACCTCCACCTCTGAGTATGTACTGGTGACTTCTGATCCTTAGTCTGTTTTATTCTCGTATTCACCATCTGGGCTGCGCCACGCAACGTCGCCACCACTCGCTAGAAATCCTTTAGTGAGCGAGAACTCTCAGGGAAGCGGGCCGTGGAACAAAGTATAGCTTAAAGTTATAGTCGATTATTATCAAACGTTCACAGGTCAAACATATGGAACGATATTTCTAATTTCATCATGCACAGAGCTGCTCAATATGCGCAGCACCGCCTTCACATTGAGGTTTTACCCAGACACTTTAACAACTCATAATTGGTAAATCACCACCACACCCAAGATGTATTATATATACATATTAATCTGATTTCTTTTGGCTAAAAAGCGAAGGCACTGCCTTTCGGTTAGAAGACCTCTTATGCGATGAGGTTTGGTTCAACATAGAAATATGGAGGTGATTCATGGCATTCTCCTGGAACCTCCAGAGCTTTATTTGCAAAATGATAAAAAAAAGCCAATTAAACAGTTCAGAGGATGTTCTATAAGCCACAAACGCCGCGAAGTGGGCAGTGTGGCAAAATCTCTTAGTGGATATGTACTAACAGTAACCTTGAACATTG